GAAACCCTGTCTCGAAAAACCAAAAAAAAAAAAAAAAAAAGCCCAGTGTCAGAAGTTTTAGTGAGGAACTAAAACCACAACATTAATGAAGAGTGAATAACTCTATTCCTCAAATTGTTCCATTTTAAGAGAAGCAGAAGGAGCATTGTCCAACACTGTTTATAAGTTACCCTTTTACCAAAACAACACCAAGGCTCAACAAATAAATAGTGTTGCAGACCAATCTCTCCTGTAAACACTGATTCAATAATACTCAATAAAATAGTAGCAGACAGGATCCCCAAACCCATAAAAAATCATACACCATGAACAAGGTGGCTTCATTACACAGATGCAGCTGATTCAACACACAAAAATTAAGTTAATTCATCATATTAATAAATTGAATGAAAAAAAGCTTATGATAATCTCAAGCACTATACAACAAGTTGACAGCCAACATCAAATTAAATGGAGAGAAAATCAAAGCCATTACACTAAACTCAGGAACAAAACAAGGTTGTCCACTCTCTATATCTATTCAACATAGTTCTTGAAGTCTGGCTATAGCAATAAAACAACAAAGCGAGATCAAGGGGGTTCAAATTGAACAGGAAGAAGTGAAACTTTCATTATTTGCATATGATATGATGTATATATAAGTGACCCCCAAATATCAACAGCAAACTCCTACAACTGATAAGTACCTTCATAAATATGGCAGGATACATGATCAACCCAAAAAAATTAGTAGCCCTACTATATACAAATGACAAAAGGCTGCAAAAGAAATCAGAGAAATACCACCTTTCACAATAGCCACAAAAACATAAAATATCTGGGGGGTAACACTAACTAAAGTAGTGAAAAATCCTAATTATCCATACATAACTTTACATTTATGAGGAAAGAAATTGAAGAAGATACGAGAGAATGGAAAGCTCTTCCATGTTCTCGGATAGGTAGGCTCAACATAATAAAAATGTCAATTCTACAAAAAGCAGTCTATAGATACAATGTAATCCAATTCAGAATCCAAATACAATTTTTCACTGACCTTGAAAGAAGAATATTCAACTACAATGGAAAAGCAAAAAACTCACAATAGCCAAAAAAAAAATCCTCTACAATAAAGGAACTACCAGAGGCATCACCATGCCTGACATCAAAACTCTATCTCAGAGCTACACTAATGAAAATAGCTTTTTATTGACATCAAAACAGAGAGGTTGAGCAATGGAATCAAAACAAAGACCAAGATAGAATTCCACACACCCATGAACCCCTGATTTTTGAAAAAGAACCTAAAATTAATCAATTGAAAACAGCATCTTCAAAAAATAGTGCTAGCATAAATGAATGTCCATATGTAGAAGAATGAAAATAGATCCATATCTATGTCCATGCACAAAACTCAAGTCCAAATGGATTAAAGACCTCAGTATAAATCAGACTACACTGAAACTGATGATAAAGAAAGTGAGAATATCCTCCAATGCATGGGCACAGGAGAACAATTCTTAAATATAACTACAGTAGTATTGACGCTGAGAACAACAATAAATAAATGGCACCCCCTGAAACTGAGTGGCTTCCGTAGAACAAAAGACAGAGTCAGAAAGACAAAGAGGATGTCTACTTAATGAAAAAGAGCTTAATAAACTACAAATCAGACAAAGAACTAAAGTTGGAAATATATAAAAATCTCAAGAAATAAGACATCAAAATTCCAAATAACCCAATTAAAATGGGGTGCAATGTAAAGCAGAGAATTCTCAACAGAAGAACCTCAAATGGGTGAAAGTTATTTAAGGAAATGTTCAACATTCTTAGACATCAGGGGAATGCAAATAAAAACAACTTTGAGATACCATCTTACACCTATCAGAATGTCTAAGATCAAAAATACCAAAGACAACTTAAGCTTGAGAGGTTGTAGAGTAAGGGGAACACTCATCCATTCCTGGTGGGAATGCAAACTTGTACAACTAGTTTGGAAATCAGTATGGTGGTTTCTCAGAAAATTGGGAATTATCTTACCTCAGGATTGAGCAATGCCAATCTTGGGCATATATCCAAAAGGTGCTCAACCATACCACAAGTACACTTGTTCAACTATGTTCATGACAACAGTATTTTAAATAGTAAAAACCTGGAAACAACCTAGATGTCCTTCAACTAAAGAATGGATACAAATTAGAATACTTCTCAGATTTAAAAAATAATTACATCTTGAAATTTGCATGCAAGTGAATGTGACTAGAAGAAACCATCCTAAGTGAGATAACCCAGACCAAGAAAGATGAACATGGTATGTATTTACTCAGAAGTGGATACTACCTATAAAGCAAAGGATATTGAGAATATAGTTCATGATCCTAGAGAAGCTAAGTAACAAGGTGAACTCTAAGAAAATCCTACATAGATCCACCTGGGAAGGGGAAATTGACAAGATTGCTTGACAATATTGGGAGCATGGGAATGGGAGGAGTAGGGAGAACAGAAGGGGAAGATAGGGGAGAAGGGGAGAGGAGAATTTGAGGAAAGGGGATAGATGGAATGGAGGAAAGACAGAGATGAGAGCAGAGAACGTGATTTCTTGGTCAAGGGAGTTGTTATGGTGCTAGCAAGAAACATAGCTCTAGAGAAATTCCCAGGAATCCGCAAGGATTACCAAAGCAGTAGAGGAGAGGGTGCCCAAATAGGTCTAACCATGTACTCTGACTGATGAATATCTTAAATATCACTATAAAATCTTCATCAAGCAGCTGAAGGAAACAGAGGCAGAGCACTTCAGATCACTGGACTGAGCTCCCAAAGTCAAGCTGAACAGTGGGAGGAGTGAGGATATGAGCATAGAGGTCAAGACCATAATGGGTGCTCTAACTGAAATACTTTCTCTGATCTCATGTGAGCTCTCCAACTCTAGCCAGACAGGGAAGTAGTTTGGATCTATGCTGTTTTCTTCCCTGTCTGTTTCCTTCAAGACCATGATGGTGATACCAATTGAAACAGTTTACCTAAGTTATTGGGATCTCACCAACTCTGTCTGCAAGGGAAGGAACCAGAATAGGACCAAACTAGACCCTGGGAATGTGGGTGACAATTGTATGGGGAGGGCAGTGGGGCCAGGATTTATCCCTAAAATTTACTGTTTGTTTTGCTACCAATTCTTTTTAGGGGTAGTATCTTGCTCAGCCTAGATATAATAAGAGGGCCTTGGCCTATCCCCAAAGCAATATGCCTTACCCTCTCTGATGAATAGATGGAGGGTAGAGAGGGGATATTGAAGGAATGGGAGGAGGGGAAGGATTGGGAACTGGGATTAGTATGTCAAATGGAAAAAGAGAGTTTTTAAGAAAATAAAAATAGAAAAAATGTTGCTCATTTCTATGTGCTGGAATCCATTAATAAAAATATAAAACAACAATGTTCAAGACTTTTTTCCCATATAGATATTATAACAAGGAAAAAGATATACTACATATGTTTAAATTATTATTAATTGTAAACAGCTAAGTGGTGTGAATATTTAAAATTTGAAAAGCAGGCATTATCAGGAGTGAATTAGTAGTCAGGTGTATCTCCCAGAGTAAGTCATATCTGAGAAGGGACCCAAAGTGAGGAGAGAGAGATAATAGAAATGCTTTGGAGAAGAGAGTGATTGGTAAAGTAAAACTGAGAAATTAAAACAATACAGAGAGAAAGAAATGAGATTATGAATAATTAAGTACAGAGTAACAAATTATGGATGGGTCATGATATGGATGATTATTGACATAGACATTAGAAAGCTTTAAAGGAATTGTTAATGCAAAGCAACCACTACCAGGAGTAAATAAGTAATAAAGTGTAGCTTCCTGAGGAAGTCATATCTGAGAACATACCAAATGTGAAAAGAGGGGAATAAGAGAAATGTTTGGGAGAAAACAGTGAAAGGTAACATGAAATAAAAGACTAAAACAATATAGAGAGAATGAAGTGAAATTTTTTACGTCTACTTAATTATATATGTTAATTTATATTTTATTAAACTATTAAAATTCATGTAATGCATTAATATGGGAGATAGCTAAAATTTTGCAGCATTCATGATTAAACAAAAGATAAGCAAGTACAAATACTGCACAGTATTTTGTGAGGAGTTTATTCATTCCCTAGTATTAGGAAAGTTTCCAGGAATGGCTAAAGAAGAAATGTATTTTACAGATAACTATAGGTATAATTATTATTTTTTGCAATATATCCTGCATGTGACAGCCCTATAGTTATAATGGGCACAATGTGTTTTAAACAAACCTTCAAAGAGTATCTGGTCATGAATAATAAACAAATTGTTATATATTTTATATCATGCATGTAAGTTGTTCATACAGATGGACAAAGATGTTAATGTATTAAATCCCTACTGTGATCCCCAAACATAATATCTTTCTTTGACTATATTTTCTTTGTATTTAATCAGTTTTCATCATACTTTTCAGTTCTTCAGCAAAGGTTCCCTAACAATCATTTTAAATCTTATGAAATATCCATTACTGGATTGATTTTACTCATTACATTTGTATAATATATAATTGGGCAGTTGGACAATATGATAGGACTAATAAACTTCCAATACATACATCTCTATATGAATTAAATATATGAATTAAAAGTTTTGGGGATTTTGGTAAGAGTTTTGTTTTATACATTTTTTTAAGACAGTGTTTCTCTGTGTAACTCTGGATTAACTATTATATTACATTTGTGATAGTTTCACGATCTTACAAGTTAAAAAATATCTGTTCCATGAACGAAATAATTCTGAATTCAAATTTACATTCTTTCTATACTATTTGATATAGATGTTTAAGTTTCAGGACACAAAGAAAAATAGAACTATTCGACTACCCTAATAATACAATACTATAATATACAATATATATATATATATATATATATATATATATATATATATATTAGTTCAAGGTCATACATTATTAATAAAAATCATTATAAAACCATTTTGAAGAGCATTGTACTCACTGCATTAATTCCTATTCAAATACCAATTTTGACTCCATTATGATTTTGACATTATAAGAAACATTTTTGAAAAGTACATTAAATTATCACATTTTATGTTTTATTTACCCTAAAGTCATGTCTGACAGCTAATCATTTACTCCTCCATAATACTATAAAGAGAAGACTCCATTGTATATGAGGGTACTGAGTGATCATTCACATGCTAATCTCCTAACAGGATAAGAAATACAAAGACAGATATCATGTTTTACTTATATGAATAGTGAAATTCAGTGCAGGTGATTGTAACATTTGTGGTAAATAGTAATTCAAATTTGAATTCAGTATTGCAATTATATGGCTATCACAGTTTCTAAATAAACCAAAGTATACTTGAACTTTTTTTAATACTTTCCACCCGTTACAAAAGCAATAATTTAATGACAAGTAAATTCATTTGTTTATTTTAGTTTTACAATGAAAGAATAAGTATTTGTAGTTGCTAGGAAATTAATCTATGAAAAATCCCTAAGAATGCTTTCTGTTTCCATTTGTTATTCAAATTCATAATAAGTGAACTTATGTGAGTTACTTTATAACTCTCATTATTTCATGTATTTAATAGATAGTCAAACCCAGAATACTAAAGGGTACACTTGACAAAAGTTTCAAAACAAAATGATTCATAGAATCTCAATCAGAAAACTTCTAACATGTAAAATAATATTTTTAATTCTTTATAAAATCACTCAAGTTTCTCAAAGATCATAAATTTGATCTTTGCACAACATCAGGAATTTCATACTGATAGAGGCATCATTGCTAGCTACATCACACAGGAAGGGTTAGATTAAAAACTATGCAGATGTCTTTATTTGATACATTTCTCATTTTGCCCTTCTGCATTGTTGAGAGTCTGTGTTGGATTACATCAAAAAATTCTAGTGATTCTTAGTGATTCAGCAGGGGTGGCTTGCAGTCATATGTGAAATATGATTGGTTTTACCCCTCTCAAACTCTGTGTTTTACTGGAAATAACCACAAGTATGTACTTGAAAATACCAATTCTACAGACAAGGGCTCCTCCTGGACAGAAAGTAAGAGAATGAAATTTTACCAAAGGCTTGTAATTTCATGTAAATATATTTTAATTCTTCTTGCATGTTGGTATAGGGAAGCTTTAGTTGTTAAGCTGCATTGCAGAACCAAACATGTATGCCAATCTTTTAAAATGAGGTCCCAAATCATTTAGATAGTCAATATTATCTTCTTGATCAGTGACTATAGATTCCAAGGAGCTCAGAGAGCCAGCTGATGATCCTGTGCCCTCAAAAGCAAAAGTTTGCAGTGAGTCAAAGGGTGGAGCACATGGATCGGTATTGGCTTCCTCCAACTTCTCTAGAATGAATTGTCGGAATATAGCACTTTCTGGGCCCACCAGCAGAGACTGCCTATAGAGGCTCCTGATCTCCATGCTCTTTCTTTTCCGTGGCTTTCTTTCTCTCATGATTATGCTGCTTCTCAACTCTGAAATATCAAAGGCTTCTGAGTCTTCTTCCCCACCTCCTTCATCATCATAGCAAAATATATTCTCTCCAAATTCTTCACTTTTCTTTGGAAATAGGATTTGATTTCTTCGTTGTTTCAAAGCCAGCATCAAAAAAATAAACCCTGGTGAAAGACATATTAATATAAATTAGTTCATATAGCATAGTGTAAATTTTGCAGTTCTTTGCCTTAACCGAAGTTCAGGAAGTCATTGCAAACTTGCTGACTCTAAGGAAACTAGTAGGTCATGGAAAATGTTATCTGGAGTCATAATTCTGTGTGATGGTTATAGGAATGAGTAAAGAAAGTAAAGTGAACTGTTTTTTCTCTTACTTAATTTAAAATTCAAAATGTAACTTAATTCTTCTAATATTATACAGAACAAAGTACAATAATGAAATATTTTGAAATCCGAATATGTTTACTCACCAATGATCCATGATAATTGATGTTCAGAAAAGGAATCATTCGATATTCTTTGAGGCAAACTCATGGTATGGATATTTTTTAAGTGTTTATAGATTATTATGTATATTTTACTTATAGTATGAGTAGACTACAAAATATATACTTAAAATTTTTTATATACCAGACCTTGTTATAAAAACTTAATATTTACTGATAGATCTCATAGTTATGAAAACAATTTATTATTAATGATTTATGACAAGTGAGAAACAGAAAGTATATGTATATGGCATCATATCTCCTGTATGAAAGAAGACACCCATGTGTAAAACAATCCATATGGCATTCTCATTTGAGTTCTGTGAAAAAACAGCAATTTTAGAAAATCCAAATTAACTCAGGTATCTGAAACATATAGTGATTAGTAGCTATATGGAGAAAAAAAAATAAAAACAGGAAGAAATGGAACAAGGTCAAAATATGTTTTAGTTTAAAATAAGAATAACTAAATATAGTGTGTGTCTCAACAATAATCAATTTCAATTTTTTTCTTAGCTTTCAATTTTATGTGTCTCCTTAGAACTTTCTATTATAATATTTGAAATAAATATGAGGTGATCTTACTAAATATATATATATATATATATATATATATATCCCAGACCAGAAAATATGAACATGATATGTACTTACTCAGAAGTGGATATTACCTGTAAAGCAAAGGATATTGAGAATATAATTCATGATCCTAGAGAAGCTAAGTAACAAGGTGAACCCTAAGAAAATCCTACATAGATCCACCTGGGAAGGGGAAACAGACAAGATTGCTTGACAATATTGGGAGCATGGGGATGAGAGGAGTAGGGAGGGAGAATATTTTTTTTTCTAAAAACTGGAGACATGACCCAAATAAAACAGAAAAAGAAGAATTTGTAGCTGATTAAAAAACATGGAATTGTAAGATCTCACTCTGAACAATTACATATCGAAAAATTGGACAACATGGAACAAATGAATGAAATTTTAGAACATATAACCTACTGAGGCCATGTTGAGAGGAAATGAGAAATCTTCAGGCTAAATAAGAAGTAAAGAGACTAGATTGATAAATCTACTATAAAAAAAGAATATATTTTTATAGGAGAATTTTACCAAAAGCTTGAAAACGTGTAATATCAAGACTTCACTAAATCTTATAAATTTAAAAGGAAACACTAATCTGATTATTTATACATGACCTTACTTTATCAGTTGATACCTAATATCATAGATTATATAAATTTATTTATATTTTATATGTATGAATGCTTTGCCTCCATCTTTGTAGGACTCTGTATATGTACCTGAGACAGTCAGAAGAGTGAATCAGAAATTTGTGGTGCTAGAATTTCAGGTAGCTCTCATCAATGGGGTTAGGGATTGTACTAGAAACTGGAAGTCCATAATAGCAATAATTGATTTTGAGTACTGAAACATCAATATGGTCAAAGTCTAATAAATTTTCGGTGCATTCTAGTCATTGTCCCCATAGATAAGTAATTATAGCTTATGTTGGAGATGATGTGGAGTAAGGGAAACATTCATTCATTCCTGGTGGGAATGCAAATGTGGGAATTCAATTACTTTTGAAATCGGTATGGTGCTTTCTCAGAAAATTGGCAATTAATCTACCTCAGGATCAAGCAATACCACTCTTGGGCATATATCCAAAAGGTTCTCTATCATACTACAAGGACATTTGTTCAACTATGTTCATGACAGCAGTATTTTAAAAAGCCACAACCTACATGCCCCTCAACTTAAGAATAAATAAAGAAAATGTGGCACTTTTACACATTAGAATACTTCTCAGCTTTAAAAAACAATGACATCGTGAAATTTGCATGCAAATGGATGGGACTAGAAGAAACCATCTGGAGTGAGGTAACCCAGACCAAAAAATATGAATATGGTATGTATTTACTCAGAAGTGGATACTACCTGTAAAGCAAAGGATATTGAGAATATAGTTCATGATCCTAGAGAAGCTAAGTAACAAGGTGAACTCTAAGAAAATCCTGTAGAGATCCACCTGGGAAGGGGAAATAGACAAGATTGCTTGACAATATTGGGAGCATGGGGATGGGAGGAGTAGGGAGAGCAGAAGGGGAGAAGGGGAGAGGAGAACTTGAAGAAAGCAAATACATGAGATAGAGGAAGGACACAGATGTGAGCAGAGAAAGAGTTATATTGGTCAAGGGAGTATTATGGGGCTAGCAAGAAACATGGCTCTAGAGAAATTCCCAGGAATCCAAAAGTATGACCAACATAATAGTTGAGAGCATGCCTAAACAGGACTTGCTCTGTAGTCATACTGGTGAATATCTTAAATGTCACCATAAAATATTCATTTAGCAACTGATGGAAACAGAGGCAAAGATTCACTTCAGAGCACTGGACTGAGCTCCCAAGTCCAGTTGAAGAGTGGGAGGAATGAGAATATGAGCAAAAGGAGTCCAGACCATAATGAGTACACCCACTAAAACAGTTTATCTGATCTAATGGGAACTCCCCAACTGTAGCCAGAAAGGGAAGAAAGCATCATAGATCCAAAATAGCCCCTCTGAATGTGGGTGAAAGTTGTATGACTGGTGCAGACTGTGAGGTCCCTGGCAGTAGCACCAGGATTTATTCCTACTGCTAGTACTGGCCTTTTTATAAACTTTCGCTATGGATGAATATATTGTGAAGCCTAGATATAATATTGAAGGCCTTGGACCTTCTCCAAAGCAATATGCCTAACTCTTTCTGAGGAGTGGATTGGGGTGTAGTGGCTGTTTATATGGAGGGGATGGAATGAAGGGAAAGAATAGGACCTTGGATTGCTATGTAAAATGAAAGAAGATGATTTGTTTTTTTTTTTAAATAAAAAAATGTTATGGTGTGTGTGTGTGTGTGTGTGTGTGTGTGTGTGTGTGTGTGTGTGTTAAAAGTGGAATACTACTTGTTGGGAGCACAGCACAAAGGTACTTGTGCACACACATCCAGAAAAATCCAAGAATGTTAAGCTTATGGGATATTCTTCTCAAAGGACAGGATGTAAACCATGCTCCTTCTTCCGGAAAACTAGGAATTTGTGATGATTAACATCCTGTATTATCTGTTGGTCCAGGATATATCAACCTTCTATGACCGGAACAAAACCAGATTCAGTTAGTAGTTTAAGTGGCTCTTACAGTCTCAGTATACTGCCCCAAGATCCCATAACCATATTCCTAGATTGTTAAAAGTCCTAATGTTTATATATATATATATATATTTGTTTGACCAATACCAGGCCAGACACTATCCTAGCCCTTTAGATAGTACACATAGCCTATCTGGAGAACCCAACTACTAGGAAGAAATGACATGTATTATGAGTTGAGTTTCATTAAAATCAGTTTTCCTTGGGGAATAATGATTCAATTATACTAAGAAACATTTATTCCAAATTGTACTTTTTAATTTGCTGACAATAAAACATCTGACAACCATACTCTTTAAAAGTTTTGATGCAGAATGTAAAACTGATATGAGTGTACAGTCTCATCTGTTTTCATTTTATTTTGCTAACTGAAACCAGCAATGACACGCTGAAACACCATCCTTTAGAAAATGTGAAATCCCTCTAAAACATGAATTATCTTATAAGGCTTTATATTATGCAAATGTTGAGATAGGAAGAATAAGTTTTGAACCCTTGTCATTGGATTGTATATTTAGAAGTATTTTAAGTGCTTAAAATACTCATGTGCTTATGATAATATTAAATTATAAATGATGATCATAATTATGCTTTAAAATGAAGATCAAATGTAAAAATGAATATGTGTATCATATTAATATTGAAATTTTTAAAAAGTCATATAATTTCAATTCTGATACTAGAATAAGTCAAATAAAAATTTCCTCCAATAAATAATTTTCTTAATTTAATTAAAAAATTCATAAAATTTTGCCAAAATTTTAGGGTTACCCACACTTCCCATCAACAAAATATATATGATGTCTTTGGACATGAAGCTTTCTGTGGTTGAAGTAGAGTCAACTGAATACATCTTACTTCACAAAGAATATTAAGATTTTTCTATTTTTATAAACATCTCAAAAAATAATATGCAAAATTAAATCTGTATCAAGAAATTTATATATTTGCCATATTTTATAAAGTTATAATGTTAGACTGTGAAAAAGAAACAAATGAGTGCTATATGTCTGCTCACCAAAGCAACAATAATAAACCAATACATAAAATTAGAGTGAATTGACTGAGATTTCTTTCTATTCCATGCTTTACATATAGACTTTACATTCCACATTATCCTTTTTAAAACCACAAATGATCCCCTTAGTTTTTAATTGAAAAATACAATTTCTTTAAATTTATGATCTAGAGCTTGCCTTTTTTTAATGGAGTAAAATAGTTTTTTTTTTTGATAGAAGATTACAAAAAGCAAGGAATATCTCTGAAAAACCAAACAAAGAAGTATACCTTATAAAAATAAGACAGGCAAAACTTTGAAATTTTGTTACACATATAATCATTGTATAGTTATTAAATCAAATTAATTAATGTATAATTTCAGTTATTTTTAAACTGAATAGTAATATTTAATCATTCTAATGTTGAAGATCTACACCACTTGGATGTCAAATACCAACTAGTTTCCCAAAAAGGTACACATGCATGTAAAATTATACAGATTGAGCAGGTTATATTTATGTTTCAGATGATATATATGTATATAAATATATAAGAATATTAATGTAAAAGAGGTCATAATTTGAACAAAAGCAAGAAAGTGTAAATGGAAAGACATGAAGGGTGGAATAAAAGTCAATAAAATGTTTTATTTGTATTATTATCTCATAAAATGAAAAAAAATAGATTTTATTTCCTTGTTTTCACAAGTCATTCTGCCATTTGTAGTAAAATGAAGGATCCTGGAAATGGTTAGGTCAATTGACAAAAGGCAGCTACTCAAAGACAAGTGAAGCATGACCACAGTATGATGAAGAACCAAAAAAGCCTTGTAAAACAGCAGAGATAAGTCCTTGTGACCTATTATACAGCAGTGACCATTAGAAATAGCAATTTAACACATGATTAGAAATGGGCTCTTCAGAATACTGTTTATAGTGTCCTGTTCAGATGTAGTAGATTTGATTACTGGTAGTTCCAAGTCACAAAATTTCAAGAAATTCTTAATTGCTACATGACCCTTGAGAAAATACGTATTTCTTACAGTGAGTATAAATTTCTTTATTTGTCTGATTGATAAGTACTTTTGGTTTATTCAATTATATCAGAGAGACATAATCATCCATTTTAACAAGTTCTAGTGAAATATCAAATTGCACAATAAATAAAAAGAACCCAAAACAAATTCTATTCTGTTTTAAACTTAAACATGTTTAGAAAATATAAAAATATGTAGAAAATATTTTATAACTACCTCTTTAACAAATTCATGGTGTTCCTTTTACAAATGAAAGTTTTTACCATCCAATAATACTTACCAAATATTACCATAATGCATACCAGGATAGCAATTATTACTTCAGTTTTGAATCTCATGATTAGCAGAAGTCCCCTTTTAGTGCACATCTCTGTGCTTGCACTTTCTCCACAGTCACAGACTTGTATAGTGAGGGTGTTTGTGCTTGTAAGAGATGGGATTCCATTATCAGAAATTAAGATGATCATGGAGAGGACAGGCTCGTCTTTAAGGCTAAAACCCATTCTATTAGTCAGAATTACAGCTGTGTTATCTAAAACAGAAATTCAAGTTCACAATTTTTTTCAACAATATAAACCACATGTGAACAATGTAAGTACTAGTGGCAAAAACATTTCAATATAATAATATCTGTCTAAATAAAAATATTATATTAAAATATCTAGCCCCAAATCATTTTAAAATATTCTAAAAATTAATTACACAATAAGAAGACTTATTTGAACCAGATTTAAAAGGTTTTGAGAAATATAAATTATCAGTGCATAGAGAAAATAATGTTTCTGTATACTGATTTCAGTATTGGAAGGGCTATTCAGCAATTGATTAAAAATTTATTTTAGCAGTGTCCAGCACAACTTAAAAACAAAATAATTACAAAATTACTAGATATTTGTAAGATATTCAGTAACCTAACTACTACAGCTTGTGCTTTTAAATAATATGCATTCTAGTTAGAAAAGGGCATAATTCTATTTTGGAGAGAAATTTGATTAGAATATTCTTTTACTTTGACATTACCAAATTATATTTCACATAAAATTCCACACATATGTTCACTACTTGTAACTAAATTAATTAATCAAAATGATAATATGGCAAAAATCTGGTAATTGTTTCACAAATACTTGAAAGAATAAGTGAAAAAGAATCATGAGTACTTCCATTTATGTTAATCTTGTTTCTAAATCTTAAATAATTAATATTATATTTTCACCATTTTCTTCTCTCAAACTTTTATGAGGAGAAAATGTACTCTTACTCAGGGAATGCCTCAATTAGACTCAACTATGGGCATGTCTGTGAGATATTTTCTTGATTTCAAGCACACATAGGAGGGCCCAGACTTTAATGCCACACTCAGAGAAATGGGCCTAGACTTTTATAAAAAAGGGAGAAAACAAAACAAAACAAAATTAAAAAATCAAACAAAAAGTAAGAAAAGGAGATTTCCACAAGCCAGAGAAAAACACGACAGTATGCCTCTGTGGTTTCTGCTTCAAGTTCTTGCTTCTAGCACATGAATTATAAGGCAAATAAGTCATTTCCTTACCAAGTTGGTTTTAGCTAGTGTTTGACAACAACAACAGAAACAAACCATAGCACATTTCCATTACTATAAATGATATTTGTATCCACAAAATCAATTTGAGAGGCATAAGACATCAACATTCATTTCATTCCAAGTCTCTTCCTAAACCATACATTTTCAGTAAAAGAAAAATTTAAATATATATGTATATGATGGGCAAAATAGTTTTCAGATTAGTGAAAAAGCTGAACAATATAATTTTAGGGACCCCATTCACTCCCCAGTCATTCAGCAGGGGCTTCTTCCCTCTGCTGGGTCCTCTCTCTCCCTAACCCATCCCAGTTTGCACCCAGGAACTTCCTCCCTTCTTCCTCCATTCTGCAGGGCCATGGTATCAGCCTGTTTGGGTCTTGGGACAGGGTGCTAAGGGCAACAGGGCCAGTGGGAATTGCTTTGCTTCAATAGCCTGCCTGCAGCAAGGTAGGCCCTTTATCAGCAAGGTCCCTGGCCAGCAAGAGAACCTGATCCTGTTCCATAAGATCCATCGGATAGCATTTGAAGTAAGAGATGGGCAGACGCCAAGGCAAGAATTCCCCCAACAATCTGAAAAACAACATGAAAACACCAGAGCACAGGGACCTGACAACAGAAGGTCTCGAACACCCTAATCCAGAAAAAGCGAAAAAAATTGACTTTATGAAAACGATAAAGTCCCTTAAACAGCATGTAAAAAATGCCCTTATACAAATGGATGAGAAGTATAACAAAAAGTTTCAAGAAATGAATAAATACGAAAATGATACCCTGGGAAACCAAGAAAAAACAATCAAACAAGTAATGGAAACAGTTCAAGAATTAAAAACTGAAATGGAGGCAAGGAAGAAAACACAAACGGAGGGCTGACTGAATATGGAAAATCTAGGTCAACGAACAGAGTCTACAGAAACAAGCTTAACTATTAGAATACAAGAGATAGAAGAAAGAATGTCATACTCTGAAGACACCATTGAGAAAATAAACACACTGATTAAAGAAAAGAGCAAATCCAAGTAATTCTCATCACAAAACATTCAGGAAATATGGGACACAATAAAAGGACCAAACCTAAGAATAATAGGGATAGAAGAAGGAGAAGAATTACAGCTCAAAGGCCCAGAAAAATTATTTAACAAAATTATGGAAGAAAACATTCCCAACATAAAGAAAGATATTCCTATGAATATTCAAGAAGCATACAGAACACTAAATAGACTGAATCAAAATAAAACCTCCCCTCGCCATATAATAATCAAAACACAAAACATACAGATTAAAAAAGGAATATTAAGAGCTGCGAAAGAAAAGGTCAAATAACTTATAAAGGTAAACCTATCAGACTTACACAGGACTTCTCTATGGAAACTATGAAAACCAGAAGGTCCTGGATAGAGGTACTTCAGAGACTAAGAGACCATGGATGCAAGCCCAGACTTCTATACCCAGCCAAGCTTTCATTCACTATCAATGGAGAAAACAAAATATTTCAGGATAAGAACAAATTTAAACAATATGTAGCCACAAACCCAACCTTACAGAAAGTAATAGAAGGAAAATCACAACCCAGAGGATCCAACATTGCCAACACTGCCTATAATAACTCAGACAACTAGAGACCCTTCACCAGCACAACTCAATGAAGGGAAACACACAAACACTACTACCAGAAAAACAATAACAACTGGAGTCAACAACCACTGGTCATTAATATCACTTGCTATCAATGGACTCAATTCACCTATAAAAAGGCACAGGCTGCTGTGCGGTGGTGGTTCACGCCTTTAATCCCAGCACTCGGGAGGCAGAGGCAGGCAGATCTCTGTGAGTTCGAGACCAGCCTGGTCTACAAGATCTAGTTCCAGGACAGGCTCCAAAACCACAGAGAAACACTGTCTCAAAAAACCAAAAAAGAAAAAAAAAAGGCACAGGCTAAGAGATTGGACACAAAAACAGGATCCAACATTCTGCTGTTTACAAGAAACACACCTCAACCACGAAGATAGACATCTACTCAGAGTAAAGGGTTGGGAAAAGTTCTTTCAAGCAAATGGACCTAAGAAACAAATGGGTGTGGCCATACTACTTTCTAAGAAATCTGACTTCAAACTAAAATCAATCAGAAGAGATAGAGATGGTCATTTTATACTCATAACAGGAACAATGAAGTCTCAATCCTGAATATCTATGCCCCTAATATAAAAGCACCCACTTATGTAAAAAAAAAACATTACTAGAACTCAAGGCAGACATCAAACCACACACACTAATATTAGGAGACTTCAACACACCTCTCTCACCAATGGACAGGACAATCAGACAGAAACCTTATAGAGAAATAAGAGAATTAATGGAGGTAATGAATCAAATGGACTTAACAGACATCTATAGAAAATTCCACCCAATAGGAAATAATATATCTTCTTCTCTGCAGCTCATGGAACCTTCTTGAAAATTGACCACATACTTGGTAACAAAGAAAACCTCCACAGATACAAAAAAATTTTAGTGACCACCTGTGTTTTATTGGATCACCACAGATTAAAGTTAGAATTCAACAATGAGGCTACTCCCAGAAAGCCAACAAATTCATGGAAATTGAACAGGCAGTTACTGAACCACACCTGGGTCAAGGAAAAAATAAAGAAAGAAATTGAAGTCTTCCTTGAATTTAATGAAAATAAAGAGACAACATACTCAAACCGATGGGAAACTATGAAAGCAGTGCTAAGAGGAAAGTTCATAGCACTAAGTGCCCACATTAAAAAAAAAAAACAAAAAAACGGAGAAAGCACACATTGGAGAATTAACAGCACACCTAAAATCACTAGAAAAAAAGAAGCAGACTAACCCAGGAGAAGACTGGAAATAATCAATCTGATGGCTGAAATCAACAAAATAGAAACACAGAAAACAATCCAAAGAATCAATGAAACAAAAGGTTGGTTCTTGGAGAAAATCAACAAGATTGACAAACCCCGATTCAAACTAATCAAACGGCAGAGAGAGGATATGCAAATTAATAAGATCAGAAATGAAAAGGGGGACATAACCACAGACACAGAGGAAATTCAGAGAATCATTAGATCTTACTACAAAAGCCTGTATGCCACAAAACTGGAAAATGCAAAAGAAATGGACATTTTTTAAGATAAGTACCATGCACCAAAGTTAAACCAAGAACAAGTGAACAATCTAAATAGACCTGTTAGTCGCATGGAATTAGAAACTGTTATCAAACACCTCCCTTCCAAAAAAAGCCCAGGACCAGATGGCTACAATGCAGAATTCTTCCAGAAGTTCCAAGAAGAGCTAGTACCTACACTCCCAAATGTATTTCACAATATAGAAACAGAAGAGTCATTGCCAAATACCTTTTATGAAGCTACAGTTACCCTGATACCAAAAACGACACAAAGACCCAACCAAGAAAGAGAATTACAGGCCTATCTCACTCATGAACATCAAAGCAAAAATTGTCAATAAAATACTGGCAAACCGAATCCAAGAACACATTAGAAAAATTATCCATTATGATCAAGTAGGCTTCATCCCAGAGATGCAGGGCTGGTTCAACATACACAAATCTATCAATGTAATCCATCATATAAATAAACTGAAATAAAAAAAACATATGATTATTTCATTAGATACTGTAAAAGCATTTGACAAAATTCAAAATCCCTTTATGATAAAGGTCTTGGAGAGATTAGGGATACAAGGGTCATATCTAAATATAATAAAAGCTATTTACAGCAAGCCAACAGCTAACATCAAATTAAATGGAGAGATACTCAAAGCCATCCCACTAAAATCAGGAACACAAGGCTGTCCACTCTCTCCATACCTCTTCAATATAGTGCTTGAAGATTTACCAATAGCAATAAGACAACATAAGGGGATTCGAATTGGAAAGGAAGAAGTTAACTTTCGTTATTTGCAAATGATATGATAGTATACATAAGTGACGCAAAAAACTCTACCAAAGAACTGCTACAGCTGATAAACACCTTTAGTAACATGGCAGGATAAAAGATCAACTCCAAAAAATCAGTTGCCCTCCTATACACTAAGGATAAGGATTCAGAGAGGGAATTGAGAGAAGCATCACCTTTCATGACAGCCACAAATAGCATAAAATATCTTGGGGTAACTCTGACCAAGGAAGTAAAAGATCTATTTGATAAGAACTTTAAATTTTTGAAGAAAGAAATTGAAGAGGATACCAGAAAATGAAAGGATCTCTCTTGCTCTTGGATTGGGAGGATCAACATAGTAAAAATGGCAATTCTCCCAAAAGCAATCTATAGATTCAATGATATTCTCATCAAAATCCCATCAAAATTCTTCACAGACTTGAGAGGACAATAATCAACTTTATATAGAAATACAAAAACCCAGGATAGCCAAAACAATCCTATACAATAAAGGAATTTCTAGAGTCATTACCATCAACTCTATTACAGAGCTTCAGTATTGAAAACAGCTTGGTATTGGCATAAAAACAGAGAAGTCAATCAATGGAATCTAGTAGAAAACCCGGATTTTAACCCACAAACCTATGAACACCTGATTTTTAATAAAGGAGCTAAAAGTATACAATGGAAGAAAGGGAGCATCTTCAACAAATGGTCCTGGCAGAACTGGTTATCAACATGTAGAAGAATGAAAATAGATCCATATCTATCACCATGCACAAACTCATGTCCAAATGGATTAAAGACCTCAATATCAATATGAACACACTGAACCTGATAGAAGAGAGTGAGAAGTACTCTACAACACATGGGCACAGGAGACCACTTACTTCATATAACCCCAGTAGCACAGACATTACGGGCAACATTGAATCAATGGGACCTCCTGAAACTGAGAAGTTTCTGTAAAGCAAAGAACACTGTCACTAAGACAAAAAGGCAACACAATGACTGGGAGAGGATCTTCACCAACCCTGCAACAGACAAAGGTCTCATCTCCAAAAAATATAAAGAACTCAAGAAACTAGACTCTAAAATGCTAATTAACCCAATTAAAAAATGGGGTACTGAAATGAACAGAGAATTCTCAACAGAAGAAGTTCAAATGGCCAAAAGACACTTAAGGTCATGCTCAACTTCCTTAGTGACGAGGGAAATGCAAATCAGTACAACTTGGAGATACCACCTTACACCTGTCAGAATGGCTAAAATCAAAAACACCAATGATAGCCTTTGCTGGAAAGGATGTGGAGTAAAGGGTACACTCATCCATTGCTGGTGGGTATGCAAACTTGTGCAACCACTTTGGAAATCAGTGTTTCGGTTTCTCAGGAAATTCGGGATCAACCACCCCAGGACCCAGCAATACCACTCTTGGGAATATACCCAAGAGATGCCCTATCATATTACAAAAGCATTGTTCAACTATGTTCATAGTAGCATTATTCGTAATAGCCAGGACCTGGAAACAACCTAGATGCTCTTCAATGGAAGAATGGATGAAGAAAGTGTGGAATATATACATATTAGAGTACTACTCAGTGGTAAAAAACAATGACATCTTGAATTTTGCATGCAAATGGATGGAAATAGAAAACACTATCCTGAGTGAGGTAACCTAGGCCCAAAAAGATGAACATGGGATGGACTCACTTACAACTTGTTTTTAGCCAGAAATTTAGGACATTGTGCCTATAATTCATGATCCCAGAGAAGCTAAATAAGAAGGTGAACCCAAAGAAAAACATACAGTTATCCTCCTGGATATTGGAAGTAGACACGATTGATGGGCAAAAATTGGGAACTGGGGGGTGGGGTGGGATGGGGAAAAGGGAGATGGGGAGAGATAAGTGAGAAGGGGAGGATGGGGAGTGCTTGGGGGAATGGGATGGTAGGGACAATAGAAAAATGGATATGGGAGCAGGGAAGTATATATCTTAATTAAGGGATCCATTTTAGGTTTGGCAAGAGCCTTCACTCTAGAGGGGTTTCCAGGGGTCCAGAGAGATGTATCCAACTAGGTCCTTGGGCAGCTGAGGAGAGAGAGCCTGAAATGGCCCAATCCAATAGCCATACTAATGAATATCTTGCATAGCACCATGGAACCTTCATCTGGCGATAGATGGAGATAGAGACATTGGGGCAATGGACTGAGCTCCCAAGGTCCAAATGAGGAACAGAAGGAGTGAGAACATGAACAAGGAAGTCAAGACCGTGAGGGGGCACCCACCCACTGAGACAGTGGGATTGAATTATTGGGAGCTCATCAAGGCCAGCTGGACTCTGACTGAAAATGCATGGGATAAAACCGGACTCTCTGAATATGGTGGACAATGAGGGCTGCTGAGAAGCCAAGAACAATGGCACTGAGTTTTGGTCCTACTGCATGTACTGGCTTTGTGGGAGCCTAGCCTGTTTGGATGCTCACCTTCCTAGACCTGGATGGAGTGGGGAGGACCTTGGACTTCCCACAGGGCAGGGAACCCTGACTGCTCTTTGGACTGGAGAGGGAGAGGGAGGGGAGCAGGGCGTGGGGAGTGGGCGAGGGGAGGGAAAAGGGAGGCGGGGAGGTGCCAGGAATTTTTTAATAAAAACAATTAATAAAAAAAGAAGGAAAAATATAATTTTAGAAGTTATTGTCTTTAAAGAGAAGTAAAAGAAAGTCTGCCTTTTGAAACAAAATCCTAACTTCAGAATAATTATTCTTTAATTAATAAAGTCTTTGTGTTCTAAGATAGTGAACAGATTTAAACATTATGTTTATGTAAGTTAATTAGTGTTCTAAGATATTCATAATTGAGTTAAGGCACACTCATTGTAACTTTAAATATAGGTTATTTGCTCTTCATCATTACACTGATAATGGAAAGAGTCCATGATGGTTAAAGAGCTGTGATGTCACCATCATAAGGATATTTGGTAGCCTGTAAGTTTTTATAGTATCCCATAACCAAGAATAGCATTCTATTTAAAATTTAATATCAAGATGCTATAAAACAAACTCATAGACTTACATATGTATAGTACACAAAAAATTAAATATATAACCTCTCACTAATGACTTCTAAATGTGCTTCTAATTTGAAGAAATATGAGGAGTAACAAAATCAGTGGCCTTCAAACTTGAATTTGCATTATTTTCCATTTTAGCCATTGGTCTTGTTCCATTTTTCATATTGCAAGACTGTTAAATAATCAGTTCACCAAATCCATTGGTGTAAAAGATAATAGATTCCACTAAACACACTTATAGATGAACAGTTACCTTGATTGTCTCTTAGTATAAAACTTGAATTATTTCTGTCTTCCACAGAGTGATTGAAGTAAAAATGGTGATGTTCAATGGATTCATCTCTGTCTATTGCACTTATGGTCTGAATTATCTAGAAAATTATTAAGAAATTTGATTGTGATTATTGGGAAAAATAAATTGGTCAATGCTCTTATTATATATAATATTTCTTAAAATTACTTTAGCAAAATCTCTATGTTTCTTAAATACTTCAATTTTTATTCCTGATCTTCATCTGCTATGCAGTCATTATTATTTGTAGATTAAGTCATGATGATGTTGACTTTCTAGTTATACACATATTTAGAGCAATTATTTTTTTCCTAAAGTAATTAATTTTGTAATTAGTTTTCAGAAATGACACATTTAATGCTTTCAGACAATGTATGACTGCTTCTGACTCACAAAGATGATAGACAAATTTTTACCATCAAATAAATGACACTTTATCTCAAATCATAAAATTGTAAAGAAATGCAGATGAAATCAAATCAGTTCTCAATTCTTTTATGTTAAGTCATAAGTCTGATCATTTTAATGAGGGAAAAGATAAACTAGACATTATCACACAGTAAGATAGTAATTAATTCTCAAGATTAAATTAAATTGATTGCAGTAGTTAGTATTTTATATTTTCTAAAATCAAAATGTCTTTAATAGTGTTTCAATTAAATCTTCACTTGACTGTAAGATGAAATATCCAAATTGATAAGTTATACTTCAATGAACAGTTATTTTCCTACATGAATTCAGGACAGACTTAAAAAACAGAAACAATCTGTATATTACATGTCCATATTGATTTATGTTTTCACAAAAATATTTGATTTTAACTAAATCCTAAATTTTTAAAAGAAAATACAGAAAGAAAAATTTTATTCATCCTATGATTGTAGTAATAAGAAAGTATCACATGATTTCAAGACAGTATTTTTATTTTAAAATAGATTTTTTTTATCTTGATGAGTGAGGGCAGGATTTTAAGATTATAGTATTCTTGATCCATATTATGCCACATACAAGTTATCTAAAGTCAGACACTAGGCTGTGTTTGAACATAAAGTTTTTAAGATTCCCTTATAGGTTCACCTGAACATGTTTTTAAAAAACTATTATACATCACTACAGTTATGCTATGGCCTCACCAAGAAAACTTTCTGGTGAGGTTAGTTGTAGTGGGAGACGGCTTGTTGGTTCCTGGCCACCCAGCTAGCTTAGCCCAGAAATAACCATACAGAAACTGTATTCATTAAATCAGTTTGGTCCATTAGCTCTAGCTTCTTATTGACTCAATCTTACATATTAATTTAACCCATCTCCATTAATCTGTGCATCATCACAAGGTCATGGCCTACAAGCAAATTTTCAGCATATCTGTCTCCAGCGAAAGCTCCATGACTTCTCTCTGACTTCACCCTCTTTTCTCTCAGCATTCAGCCTAGCTTTCCTTGCCTACATACATGCTACCTTGATATAGGTCCAAAGCAGTTTCTTTATTCATTAATGGTATTCACAGCACACAAAGGGGATTCCCACATCAGACAGTATAAGGTAATGTTTTAGATTGTTACTGATCACACAGTTTTGGATTTATTTGTCTAACTAAGGCAGTATTTGTAACAAATCATAACTGTCACATTTACCTTGGTGACATGAATATAGTTAATCATTTCATTTGAAGTTGTGTGATAAATGTAAACTTTATTGAAAAAAAAATTCCTTTAATAAAGGAAGGCTTCAGAAGATGAAATCCTTTGGTTTTGTTCTGTTTTCTAAAATGCTTAATTAAAATTAGCCAAAATACAGCGTTTATATTAGAAACAAATGGAATAGATCAGTTTAAAAAATATAGATGAACTTATATTTGATTCATAGCTGGATTTGAAGTGAAACAAACTACTTCTATTAATTTTAATAAAGAACCCATAGACATAATCAATTCTTAATCTATCAAAGAGGTATTATTAAAATAATACATTCAACTTTAAGTACATATACATTTTAAGTAAAAACAAATCTTTAATATTTAATATTAATATTTATTTCCTTAAAATTCAGCAATAGAAATCATGTATTTCATTGTGCAAATAAATCTAAAACTATGTATACTTAGAGTTGATTACTTATCTAAACTATTATATTTGGCTAACTCCGGCCTACTGAGGTCTTTAAAATTAATGGTATCATTAATGAATTAAAAGATTTAAAAGTAAGGATAAACTAATAATGAACTTAGGAAAAAGTGATAGGCATTTTACAAGATTATAGCTAATTTTGATAGCTCTGTTTTTGGTATTTGTTTGCTCAATGTGTATGATTTTGTCTAAGTTCCTTTTACATAATACATTGGATTTTCTATCTATAATTATCTGTGAATTCCAGAATGAAAATACATTCTGTCAACTTACACAATTTGAAAATAAACAACTTTAATACAAACTCACCTATAATTTATTCACTGATATGTATTATTATATATATTCAAAGTAATTTTTGAAATAAATTGTTAGTGATTTAATTTTATAAATACTTATATTACGTTTCACGTGAATGTTGTAATCAATCAAAATAAGAATTCACTATACATTGTACTTTGAGTGTCTTTTAGAGCTACTCTGCCTATTACAGAAATGGGTATTCATTATTAATTTTTTTAATTATTTTATATATGTATATTGATGTGCTGTACATAAAATGCAACATATATGCTTGATTGACACACTTAGATGCAATTCAAAAAAGGAAATTTAATGTGGCCTAATTTGATACTAAAAATGATTCTATTTTCAATGACTTTGAATCTAAAATATTCAACGAGTGATACCATGTTTATATCCTTCATATAGTCAATATATTGAACACAGATGTGATTTCACTACCAAAGTTCTTCCATAATTTCTTATATTTAATGAGTCTGCAAAACTTTTTGTAATTCAAAACCTCTATGATGAATGCTATACCAAGAAAAAAGTATCCGTTTGGGTGTTTTTAAAATTTTATTCCAAGCAGTCACTATTCCAGTTTTCTAAGACAAAATAAGCTGAGTGTAGTTTATAATTCAAATTTATATGTATTTTTTTGTTTTATACTTACAATGCCAGTAAAAAGAAATCTGAGCATAAAAATCATGTCACAAAGTTTAGAGCATTCAGACGATCAATATGAAAAGCAGAAGAACATGTGACAGTTTCGGGACTCTGGAAATATTTATCACACTAGGAAAGTTTGAGACTGAGCAGATGAAGGAGGTGTTTTAATTACTCTTCCGCTGCTGTGAACAAACACCATGATCAAGACAACACTTTAGAGGAAAACGTTTCTGAGGGGCTTGCTTACAACTTCAGAAGTTTAGAACATTCCCATTATTGCAGGCAGAATGGAAGCAGGTAGGCAAGCATGGTGCTGGAGAAGGAACAGAGAACTATATTCCAATCCACAGGCAGACAGAAAGCAAGACTAAGTTTTACTTGTCCTTACCTCATTATTTCTAGTGACACACATTCTTCAAGAAGGATACATATACTCAAAGTACACAACACTTCCTAATATTTTGCAACAATTCAGCACATGGGAACAAAGCATTCAAATGATATCATTCTTATTCAAACCCACATCAGTTAAATTTCCTGACATCAAAAATTAATGTTTGAACACTATAATCACACAAATAAGGTAAAAATTCTGGTGATCATCCTGCAAATCACTTATTAGCAGTGAGCTTTGAAACTAGTTTATTACAAGAAAATGCTAAGTTACTGTTGTTCAAGAGTTGATACTTCATAAATTTGGCCAACACATATGAGTTAATATGCAACTTTAGAAATTTTTAAAAACAATGAAAATAAAAAAAAATAAAAAGAAAAGATATGACTGCTTCTGGGAATGGTGGAAGAGACCGTTTATTGTAGATAACAAGAAGAGAATAGCCAGAGGCATGGGCACCTGGTAGAACACAGAGGGGACTTGACCAAACTGAGCTATGATAGGTGGACAGTGGGAGGAAAGAAAAAAACAAGTGAAAGGGCCAAGAAGCCAATGGTACAAAAAAGTTATAATATATACATATTTTTATTATTTCCTCCCTCCAAACTCTTCTATATAACTACAAATTTATGGCTTTCACTTTCAATCTTTGCTGTTGCAGACATATATTTTGATGTGTACTAGTTTGGGAATACTTAAGTACAATGTCTTTTGGTAACAACTACAGAATTACGTAGTAGAGTGGAATGCTCTTCACTGAAGACAACTATTTTCCCACTCCCAGCATTTCTTTATTAACTCTAGTCCTTTCTGCAGGGTTCAGTCCTGAGAGACACTCCCCTCTCTGTGTCAGCATGCCTAGTGCTATTTTCCTTCTCAGGTCATATTTTTTTATTATTATTATTTATTTATTTTTCATTTTTTTTATTGAGAAAAGGAGAAAAAAAACAAGTTTCCACCTCCTCCCAGCCTCCCATTTCCCTCCCCCTCCTTTCTCCCTTCTCTCCCTCCCCCACCCTTCTCCCCCTCCCCCCACTCCTCTACCCCTCCCTCTCCAGTCCAAAGAGCAGTCAGGGTTCCCTATTTATGCATTCGAGTTTGTGAGATGTATGGGTGTAAAAGACTTAAGTGCCCCCAACAAGTTGTCTCACCTTCTTAGTTATCTTGACAATAATTCCTTTATTTGATCAATAACAATGGCTGCTTTTAAGGAAAATAATCTAGACTTTAAAATGCTAATTAACCCAATGAAAAAATGGGGCCCTGATCTGAACAGAGAAATCTCAGCAGAAGAAGTTCAAATGGCCAAAAGACACTTAAGGTCATGCTCAACCTCGTTAGAGGTCAGGGAAATGCAAATCAAAACAACTTTGAGATATCATCTTACACCTGTCAGATTGGCTAAAATCAAAAACACCAATGATAGCCTCTGCTGGAGAGGTTGTGGAGGAAGGGGTACCCTCATCCATTGGGGTGGGAATGCAAACTTGTGCAACCACTTTGGAAAGCAGTTTCGGTTTCTCAGGAAATTCGGGATCAACCTACCCCTGGACCCAGCAATACCACTCTTGGGAATATACCCAAGAGATGCCCTATCATATGACAAGGGCAACTATGTTCATAGCAGCATTATTTGTAATAGCCAGAACCTGGAAACAACCTAGATGTCCTTCAATGGAAGAATGGATGAAGAAAGTGTGGAATATATTCACATTAGAGTACTACTCAGTGGTAAAAAACAATGACTTCTCAAATTTTGCATGCAAATGGATGGCAATAGAAAATAGTATCCTGAGTGAGGTAACCCAGACCCAAAAAGATGAACAAGGGATATACTCACTCATAATTGGGTTCTAGCCATAAATATAGGCCAGTGAGTCTATAATTTGTTATCCTAAAGAAGCTAGATAAGAAGGTGAACCCAAAGAAAAACTTATAGCTATCCTCCTGGGTATGGGAAGTAGACAAGATTGCCAGGCAAAAATCGGGATCTTAAGGGTGCTGTGGGAGGGGGGTAAGGGGAGATGGGGAGAGAAAAGTGAGAAGGGTAGGATGGGGAGAACTTGGGGCAACGGGATGATTGGGATAAAGGAAGGTTGGATAGGGGAGCAGGGATTCACTATATTATTTATGTGGAGTATGCATGTGTCATGACATACATTTTGAGGTGAATGTGTTTACACATATTTTGTACACACATATGCTCATGTATTTTGTTTGTCTTTGGTATAACTGTATTATACACTCATAAAAAAAACTATCTAGCCAGCTCCATATTCTTCATTTCCTTATTAGACAGTATCCACTGTTAATAACATATATATTACATTTTTATAACATTTTTTATTTAATATAATTTTTGAAATTTGTAAAATTTGAAATTTCAACTCAAAAGGAACTTTTCTGTGCTTCCCTGATATGGTATGTCCTTCTCTAAATGTGTTGCTTTTATTGCCTGATGATTAAAGCTGTTTTGATTAATAGCTTAGGTATATTGTAGTTAATTCTTTTGGTTTTTTGTTTGTTTTTTGAGACAGGGTTTCTCTGTAGTTTTGGAGGCTGTCCTGGATCTAGCTCTTGTAGACCAGGCTGGCCTCAAACTTAAAGAGATCTGCCTGCCTCTGCCTCCCAAGTGTTGGATTAAAGGCATGCATCACCACCACCCTGCTCTTAGCTAACTTTTACATCTTAAATTAACCCATTTCTATTAATCTGTGTATCACCATGAGACTATGGCCTTCCTCTAAATTTTGGTATCCTTTCCCTTCAGCAGTCACATGTCATCTCCTTGACTCCAACTAATCTTTTATATATATATATGTATTTATATACATATATATATATATATATATATATATATATATATATATATATATATATCTTTATTAGGATTTCCTGACTGGTTTTTTTTTCTGCCCTGCTGTAGGTCAATAAATCTTTATTCATGAACTAATAAAAACAACACATATACAGAAGGACATCCCACATCACTCTCCAATCTATGAGCAGAAAATTTAAATTATATTTCCTTTCTAGATAATAACATTTTCTATTTACCTAAGGTTTTCAAATATTTTCTTCTTTGTCTCAGTCTCTAGTTGTCGTTGCTTATCATATCTCATAGGTGACTGTTATATTCAAGTTTATCTTGTCAATAAGGGGCTTTTCCTTTTAATGCTATATTGATGTCCATGAGTCTACATAACAATTTTAAAGTTTACAGATGAACTGTTCATTTCTTCACTTTTCTTCTCCCAAATATTATTTTAACAAGGCAAAACATCTTTTTATTTTCAGATATAATGACTGATCCATTGGAATTTATTCATAAGTCACCTTTTCTAGTTTTATCATGATTCCATTCTTTTACAACATCTGTACTCTCATGTTATATGAAAGATACGGTGGCTTCAACCACTACCTTCAATACTTTCACATTGTGAGAACTCATTGTCCCTTGCTTTGTACTATGATAACTGGATGGCGTGTCTTCCTACAGAAGAGCTCCACTGTACGTCAATATGTAAGTATGTGTCCAGAAAACCATATAAAATCTTTCCATTTATTCTTGTTTAAACTCTCCACTAAATTAAGACTTTATTCTGAGAGAAAAAATGTAAATCCTAGTCTTTACCTCATATACTACCATGACTTGGACTGCACTATTTCCCTGAAATCCATGAACCATTCTATTTAGTATTGGTCCTTCTCTACACATATGAGGCAGTCCCCTGCTCTTACAGCTTATTTGCTCTAGCCACTACCAGTGTCAAATGAAGGGCACATACCCTACCAGTCCCCTGGATAATGTAAAGTTTGATACATTCACTGTTTTCACTTTCCACTTCAGGAGTCACATTGTAATTGGATTTCCCCTAAATATTCTATTCACATACTTCCTAATGTCATTGTCCACATTTCGTTGGTCTCTTTGTTTCTTCTTCCCACCACAAAAACTTAATACTTTTGAAAATAATGTATGAATTACTTAACAACTGTTTTTCTCTTATTGCACTGCTAGTTTTATATCGGAAAGGGATCTTAATTCAACATTCATAAAATATAAATTGCAAAAAGTATGATTTATGATTAAATGACATAATCATAGAATTTAATAATTTTGTATTAAACTTTAAACACAAAATCATAAATCAAATTTCTGTGTATCTATTCTTTGCTTTCTTCTTTCATGTAAAGCATAGTAAGTCATTTTCTTGGCTACAGTTATTTCTCCATGATTCTTATTCTCTGTCTCTACTGGTCTCTATCATTCTCTGATAACTTCCAGGCCAAAATTTCTAACAAACTCATTGTCTTTTAATACTTGTTGATGTTGATGTTCATGCATCACGTGTGTTCAGGGTATAAATACATTTTCTTTTCTCCAGTTCAAGTCATGTATCATGTGCTACAAAAATCATACTTTTATTCTGGCCATCACCATACCTTTTTGTACACATTATTTTCCTGACTTTTGATCACTAGAATTTAATTAAAACATTTAAATATTAAAAATTTGCCATGCCAATGCATCCCTCCTTTCTTCTTTATATTCATCACACATTTTCTAGTATGGTATCCTGAGAAATAGAACTCAAGAAAGAAAGCAAAGTAATATTTCGTTATTATAATACTTCGATAACGAAGTAACCCCTTCGTTATCTCACTAGTAAGTTTGGGTGAAAACATTCTTGTTGGATTCAACTATCCTATGTTGATGTGTGTATTAAGATATATCGGGAGGCAGAGGCAGGCAGATCTCTGGGAGTTCTAGGCGAGCCTGGTCTACAAGAGCTAGTTCCTGCACAGGCACCAAAGCTACAGAGAAACCCTGTCTCAAAAAACCAAAAAAAAAAAAGATGTGTATACCTACTAGTTATGCATGATAAGTATATATACTAATACACAATATTTAATCATATATTATATGTAACATATAACTATATAGGCACATATAATATAGCGATATATATACATAAATACATATATATATAAATAAGCATAATTAAGGCCATCTTTATAAACCAGTTTTTCCGTAACAATTATATGTGGCATATTTCAATTTATTTACAATATTGTGCTAGTTTCTTTAAACAAAATATTTTAAGATAATAGAATGAAACATTTTTAACTTGAGACTAAAAGGATGACTAAGGAAACTGATCAAGCAGTTATATCTGCCTGTCTTAAAATAAATTGTTTGGTTCATGATAATAATCTAAGGTTTTATGAAGTAAACTATCATAGGAGAGGCATAAAATATAGTGTTATATTCTATAGTATTTCCAAAAAGGAAAATAAAATTGCATAGAATATATGTACATTTGTAATAAAATGAATATAACTCAAATTATTTACTTTATGTAATATAGAGTATGGTCCCTTATACTACCAATTAATATATATTTAGAAAATATAAAATATGCTGTTGCTCATTATTTGGTGATTTATTGTGATTTCTTATCTTACCTCACCAAATTCAGCATTTTCACAAACATAAGTCTCATAGTATTGATAGAACTCAGGAGCATGATCATTAATATTAAAAACTTGTACATACACAGGAATTGAAGAAATCTGTTGGACATTGTCTGCAAATTAAACATAGAGAATGGAATTAATTACATCTCTATTAAAAGTCATGCAATAAATTGGATTAGAAGCTTTCTGTATATTGATATATTTCCTTAAGGAAACCTATGCACTTCATACACTTATCAGAAATCAATGCTCAGTGCTAGCATCACTTATTGTTTTCATCTATAGGTTCTGGTTTTTTCCCTTGATAAGTGAAAGTAGATAAAAAAATGTTCTATGATCATTGTGCTTCCACTCAGGAGCTAGAAGATTTGTTTGTATCAGTCCAGTGAATTTTACTAAGAATAGAAATTTCTACTTTTGTAAATTTCTCTTATAGTCATACTGGCACTAGGAACAAACTCAGAATTAAGTTATTTCCTGAGGTCCTTAAATAACTAAAAATGCTTTATATGATCATAGTGAAATAGCTCTCTGAAACACTAAAATTAAGCCATAACTGATAAAATGTACATTATAAAGAATGCCTCAAGCCATGTCCTTCTTAAATACCCAAAATTTGTTGTTCAGATGTAAAGTGAAAGTAAAGATTACAAACTGGAGGCTTGTCTTGCTTTTCAAGTTATGTTATTAAATAAATATTAGATAATTCCCATGATCAGAATAAATATAATAATATCATTATTATATGGCAAGGTACACAATTATTCTTTATAACAATACTTAATAAGTATGTGTTTTGGAGTATTTTAATTGCATTCTGATATGGCTGAGACTAAAAATAAAGTTTACTTTAAATCAGAGGGAAGAGATAACTACTAGATGAACAAAATTAGCCATAGAAATTTTGGTAGACTAAGGATATACAGAGAGACTCTGAAAGGGGATTATAGGCAAGGGGTTCCTAGAAACAATATTTATTCTAGAGATAATCTACAGCCTTCTGGAATAAGCAGAAGGTGTGACAAAGAGTGTCATTGAACTAATTAATGAAGCTAAAAAAGGGACAGACAAGGTAATAGTTTGACATAGGGAAATGTTTTAGTTAGCCTCTTGCATGCTATAATTTCAAATTTAGTTAATAAGTTCCTATCAGCACTGGGGAGTCCCTCCTCAGAATAATTAAAAAAAAAACTTAATGCCTGTTGTTAAAAGCCATACTGGTCTAGATAATATAACAGTTTTATTAGATAAAACAAATTATTAAGGAAAGAATGGAAAAATTATTTGACCAAGGTGTTATAAATAATCAAAGATCAAAGCTAATAATACAAATAAATTGCATTGAAATTGATAGCTTAGTAGAACCAGTTTCAATTGTAAAAACAATATCATCAGTATCTTAGCAAAAATTTGGTCTCTTCAGGAGATAAAAATTCTGTTTCTGGGGAGAGAAACTTTGTCTCAGGTAAAATAACATGCAAAAAGAATTGACTTTTTCTAGTCTAGAAAAGACTAGAAGAATAGGTAGGGAAATTAAGGACATAGGTTGCTTAAATAGCAATAAATTTATGAAGACATGATTTGTTACATAAATGGAAAGCCCAAATTAACATTCCTTCAATCTCAGAAACAAACCATAAAGTAATACGTACTACTGAGAAAAATATTAAAAGGTATTATCAAGAAAAATGACTGGGCTGGAGAGATGGCTCAGAGGTTAAGAGCACTGTCTGCTCTTCCAGAGGTCCTGAGTTCAATACCCAGCAACCACATGGTGGCTCACAACCATCTATGATAAAATATGGTGCCCTCTTCTGGTGTGCAGGCATACATGCAGGCAAAATGCTGTATACATAATAAATAAATCTTTAAAAAAAAGAAAAAAAATGACCAACATTTCAGGTTGTATATAAGCAGGGCAAAGAAGCTGCTGATTTTTCAAAGGTATCATTACCATTTAAAATGGCTAACTGAGAAGCCTGTCTGATTGAGAAACAGCCTTTGACCACAGAAAAATTATAGAAATCATAACAGTTGAAACAGGAGCAGATAAATATTCAATATATTGAGGAATAGACTAGTTCCTTGACTAGTCTATTTGTCATTTCAAAAAATCTGGAAAATTAATAATGTTAACAGAACTAAGAACCACATAAATAAGGAGATTCAGAAAATGGTCTCATTACATGTTGGAATTCCCTTGCAATCTTTATTACTTAAAGTATAATCTATTGTGTTGATTGATTTAGAACAATGTTTTTTTTAACTTTACATGAACAGGTTAGAGAAAATTTGACCTCAGAATGCCTACTTACAGTAATTCCTAGCCTACTAAAAGGTATCATTGGAAAGTTCTTAAAGAGATGTTAAGCAGGCCGAGGTTTTGTCATTATTTTGGACTATCATTGAAAATAATTTGCAAACAGTCTCTTCAATGTATAACCATATGGATGATTTCTTTCTAGAGATCAAACTCATATACCTTACATACATGATAGAAGAGTCAAAGAACTTTTAATTTATTGGGGATTACAAATTGCTTCTAGAAATAGAATTAAGAATTAATTATATGAACTACCTAGGAAATAAGATAGTTTTAAAAGGATTCAACCACAGAGAGCGCAAAGCTTGAGAGATCTATTTTGAAGTATTAATGACTTTAAGATTTTCTGGGAAATATTAACTGGCTATTACCTGTAAATGTATTAACTACTCAAGAATTAGGTAATTTATTTCAAACATTAAAAGGAGAGAAGGGTCTAAATAGTCCAATAAAATCTCAGAAATGATTGACTTTGGTAGAAAATAAGCTACAGAATACACATCTGGATCCTTTGGATCTAGAGTTTGTTTGTATTCTGGTTATTTTACCTTCTATACATTCCCCACAGAAATTCTTATGCACAGAGATGATAATATCCTTGAACAGTTATTTTTGTCATAAAAGCATAGTAAGAATATCAAAAAGATCTAAATAAATGCTTCCAAATTGATTCTGAAAGTCAAATAAAGACATCATCAATTGGCAGAAATAGACTCAGCAGAAATTGTAGTGCCATTTACAAATGTTGAAATTGCCTTCAAGAGAGAAAACAAATATTGTCACACAGCTTACAGTAACTTCTTGTTAAATATTAGCAACAAGTATTGCAGAATTACAAGACTTATATTTATATAAAAATGTTTGGATTCTTCTTCACATACCATGAGGAACAATAATTGCTGGAACCCCCCACATTTCATATTGAAGCAAAGAGTTCAGGAAAAATAGGTCATAAGTCAGGAAATTTAGGAAAAAGTGGCTCACAACTCTGATAATTCTTTTCAAAAGAATTATATTTCATTCTCATGGTATTACTAGATTTTACCCAACCTCTTTTCTCAATATATATAATTGTTTTACATATTGAAACCACTAGAGTTATTCTGAAGTTGATTCAGAATTAATTTTACAATATATTCAGTTATATGAAATAATCAGAAATGAAAATTACCCCATTTATGTAACACTTATCAGATTCTATACAGGTTCAATAGACTGTCTAGTATAGTGTAATGACAAAGTTGATCAGATATTTGTAGAAAATGTGCTTCTAGTCTCAGAATTGTTCTGATAGAAATGACATTTGGTAAATAGATGTGTTTCATTTTATAGAGTTTGGAAAATTAAAATATATGCATCTTCCTGATGATTATCTTGAATATTACCGTAGAATCTTCGCCTTGCGACAGATGGAGATAGAAACAGAGACCCACTTTGAAGCATTGGACTGAGTTACCCAGGTCCAGTTTAAGAGCAGAAGGAGGGAGAATATGAGCAAGGAAGTCAGGACCACAAAAGGTTGGTCAACCCACTGAGACAATGTGCCTGATCTAATGGGAGTTCACCAAATCCAGCTGTACTGGGACTGAATGAGCATGGCATCATCCTGGACCCTCTGAATGTGGCTGACAATTGGGGAAGACTGAGAAGCCAATGATAATGGCACTGGGATTTGTCTCTACTTCATGTACTGGATTTTTGGGATTCTAGTATATTCGGTTGCATGTCTTCCTAGGCCTGGGGGAAACCTTGGACTTCCCACAGGGCAGGGTACCCTGCACTCTTTTAGGACTGGGGAAGGAGGAGGGAAGGGTAAGTGGGAGAGTTGGAGGGAAATGTGAGGAGGGGAGGAGGTGGAAATTTTGAATGGTATTATTAATAAAGTAATAAAAATGTAATTCTGTTATTATAGAATTATGTGTAGTTATGGCCAACATGGGGATACTTGTACAAACTAAAAATGACAATGTTCCAGCATATGAATCTAGTAAAATGAAACAGTCTTTTTGCATATTTCACTATAAAATATGTTTCATGTATACTACACAATTCACTTGATAAGAATTTATATAAAGATCTAATCATAATTTAAAATATGATTAATAAACAGAAAATTATAATAATTTTCTCCAGAGATAGAATGCACAATGTTTTACTAACTTTAATTATTATAATGATAATGAGAAAGGAATGACAAGTGAGGAGAGACATTGGATAGTAGGGAAAAATTGCCAAATTAAATCACCATGTATACTTTAAACTTGTATTGATTTCACAATGAAGAGCTTGATATGTGTTACATTGAGAAAGAGGGATTGATTTGTTTCTATGGGAAAAGAAAAGCTATGAATACCAGCAGAATTGATAAAGATTAGAGTAAAATAGGAGAGACCTTCTCATTAGGAGAGGTGATAGTTCATCAAACCACCTGGGCCATTTACTCTAAATGTAAAAAACTAACAAATACCTTTCATTTAATCAGATATAACCTGCCAAAATTGGAAACTCCCCATAATTAGGATTGAAGTGTGGTTTGTTTCTGTCTTGCTAAGAGAATAAAAGAATCCAAATAAGTAATCTGAGAATGACTGGACAAATGAGACATCTGAAGACAAAGGATGAATCATCCAGAGAAAATGTTCCAAGAAAAAGGAGTTGGCCTAAAGATATATCACATTTCTAAAAGGATAAAATTTTATACATTTTCCCAAATGTTTGTTTCTGTTGTTCTCTAAATATAAAATGATTTATCTTTCTGTAATTTCAATCTAACTAAGAATTAAAGCT